AAATATGATAATGTTTTCACTTCAAAATTTTTCATGTCATGTTAGCCAGCTCTCTACCTTTACTTGTCATTGTCCCCACATTTAGATTTGCAACCCTATATATATATTTATTGTCTTTCTCATCGCATGTGATACTTTTTTGTCTTTACTTGCCCTTTGACAAAGACAAATGATTTTCTTCCCTCTCCTGCTTCTTCCTGCTTTAGCTTTTTGTCCTGTATATCAGAGCCTCTACACATCTTCCGAATCGTAAATTATTATGGATCTGGTCAACTGGTCTCTCAATGCAACTGATAAAATTTTCTCGATGAGGAGACAGGGTGCAGGAGAACCCTCATGCCCTGAAGGGACACACGCAGCTGGATATGTCATTGATTTCTCGTGTGTGTGGAAGATCATGTGCCTGACTCTATTGTCCATTGAGGATGTAGAAGATGGGTACACATTTGCATTTATGATAACAGGGTTTTTGGAATTGGTGGATACCTGGGATATCGACTAATTAGGTAGATGTGGGCAGCAGTTTCAGCAATAGTAAAGCTGCTGCCTTATGTGAAGGATTACTTGTGCTTTGAGTGCTCAGACTAATATGCTTTGCGAGCTGAATCGTAAGCTGGACGCAATTTCTGAGAATCGTGGGCCACTAGCAGCTCCTAGGCCTTGCTGGCATGAAGGCATTGACCTTGGAGAAGGCTAACAAGCACGAACCGGTGGAATGTCCACAAATCTGGCTGTTTGGATTTGCTACTGAGTGTATCAACAGAACTGAAGGCAGACATGAAATCAGTAGAGTCGACCTGCCCAAAATAATTGTTGTTTATCTGAATCTGGCCTCCAACTTATTTCAAATTGCTCCTGGTGGATACGTAAATTAAGAAGCTCTGCTCTGCCCCCCCCCCCCCCCCCCCACACACACACACAGGAACATCTGTTGACCCTTATCAGAGTGGACCGGCTGAGAGATATTGTAATATCTTTTTATCAGGACTATGGAAACTATCTGGAAGATAGCATGGACAATCTCACTGTCTTGTCGTCCTCCCTCCACTGCAAAATGTATTATGTCTCTCTATGTTGCTTTTTGTGCTGAGGTAAATTTTTTCGCTCATTGCCACTCGTTTATAAAGTTATCAAGCGGGCACGCGTTGATGCGGTGAACTCACATGCATGCTGATGTGAGCTGGTGCACGCGGAAGGAGAAAGAAAAAACGCACGCCCCCGAGCATGCAAATTGTTGTGCGTTTGCTGATGCTGCGGGACGCAGCTCATCTGTGTTGTGCTCGTGTTGTGTGCAGCTGCTCCGTGTAAACGCTCGGGGAGCAGGTGCACGTATGAGCTGACGTGCCCTGAAGAGTCGTGTGTGCGCGCCCTCATTCATGTGACGCCTTAAGCGAGGATTTCCGCGGGAGCGCGCGTTTGACGCTGGTGCAGTCAGGAAGCAGTGTGCGGCATCGGTGGGGCGAGGTTACCACTGGGCTCGGTCTGCAGAACACGTTCATTCTTGGCTGCGAATCACGTGAGCTTTTGAGTGATTCCACGAGCTGCAGTATTAATTCAGAAAACCTTCTTCGAGGATGAAGGAGCGGAGCCGCTGTGAGGCTTGTGAAACTGTTGACGCCGCGGGAGCGCGCGTTTGACACCACTGCAATGAAAACGCGTGTCGCTCCTGCCGAGAGCGAGATACGTTACTGGGCTCATACCTCGGTCTCATGTTAACGTTGACGTGAACGGCGGGCGCTGAGAGCTGCGTGCGCACTTTCATAACGCAGCGCCTTATAGGTGAAGGCTGCTCGTGCCGCTGGAGCGCGTGTTGGCACCGCTGGCAGTGAATGAAACAACCTTAAAAGGCTCATTCGTGATGAGTGTGTGTGATGGGGCTGCTTGTCAGATCATCCGTGGTGACAGCCTGGCTAAAAGACACTTCAT